TACTTAAGGGGGACTATAGCTTAAGAGACTGGATCTGCATTGAACGTTCCCAGACCTCCATCCAAGTCTTCCCAGGATTCGATCGCCCGCAAATAATCGAAAAGCTGCCACATTGAGTTCGGGACAGGTGCCTGCTTGAAGCTCAACCCCAACAATCTGCCTGACCCATGAGCTTGAGGTGTTCTCCGTCAAAGGGCAGCTTCTTGTGCCACGCTAGCTGGGTTCGGGCCTGGCCACATCCCAGCTATGCATCTATACAGTCTACCACATCATGGGCTCCGTGCCCACATGAAATACCCCAAAGCATCGTTCTGCTTGTGGTTGTACCTGGACTGCAACAACTCTACTTGCAGCTGATCTTGCAAAGCCCAGGGAGCACCATTTAGGGTCCTCCAGCCCGGTCTCACCAATAAAGCGTATGTGAGGTCCTTACAAATCAAACCCGGCAGATTCAAAGCATGTCACTTTGGCTTCCGGACTGTCCATGTCATACAGTCAAGGCACGATCCATCCAGGTCTTCTCATCTCCTTTGACATCCTGATCAAATCTGGCGATGAGGTTGCACATGCTGGACTGCCAGATGAAGCTGGCCTTCAAGCCATTGATAACCAGCTCCATTTTGTGGCTTTGATATTTCCTCAGACAGGCACATTGCGGGCATTTGAGGGCTGTGCCCCACTGACCTTTACCGCATGCTGGACAAGGGGGAAGAGGTTAGAGCGGGCCGAATTTCGCCCAGGATCAAAAGAAATCGTGCGATAGAATTGAGGCAGGCAACAGCATCATTGGAGCCTGGCCCCTGCAAACGAGGTAGCTGTGATTTCAGAGGCCTTGAAAGTAACCATGCCGTCTCCCGCGCCTCTGGGTCAGTGTAAAACAAGCCCCAGGCAATAATGCAGTTGTCGCCTGGCCGAAACCACTTTATTGCCAACTTGTGAATGTCTACACACATCATCTCTCCAGTGCAGCAGAAAGACGTAGCCAGCTCCCGAACATGCCTTAAGCATTGCAAACATGATGGCCAAACTGCAGTTGCCTTGGATGGCCACCGGTGCTACTTAAAGGAAACTACTTGCTGACAAGGTTCTGGATCCGGTATGATCGCCCTTGGCGTTGGCTGCTGAGGCGCTAAATGTCCCAGTGGGCTTCCCGTCCTCGCAGAAAGGAATGCTTGTGAGGCTTAGCTTCAACAAGTTTGCACGGCGCTCGACCGTTGCACTCTGTATGACTTGCTCATTTGTGTAGTGCCCTGGCTGCTCTGCAGCGACGATCATGGCATGAGGCTTGGCATTTGTGAAACTTCGGTCTGCAGGGAAAGTTGCCTGCATACTTTCATTTTGGCTGCTTTGGGCCTGCAGTGTTGCGCCATGCGCAACTTGCAAGGGACGCTAGAAACCATCCAGCATCGCTGTAGTGGACTCAGTCTTTTCCCTTAGTCGGTGTTCGACTTCCTTCTGCACCCAGATGTAGGCCTGCGCAAAAGAAACCTCGGGAAAAACCAACACTTCCGGCGGGTCTGGCGCCCGTGAGTCCAGACAGCCATGCCGCAGCACCTCTTTCCTCCAGTTGATCCAGTCTTTCTTGGACCGCTCTGCCTGTGCCTCATAGAAGCAGAAGGAATTCCACCAAGAGTCGATCATTCTTAGCAACACCTTCCTCGCAGTTTCATCGCGCTCTTTAGGATCCAGTCTGAGGCGGTCCATGGCTTGAAAACTCCGGCTCAATTTCCCCAGCTTTCTTGGTTCCGTGACCCTGGTGTTCACGGCCTCGGAACCTTTTGTATTTCCCCACCGCTTAGCAGCTCTGGGGTCAAAAAGCGTAGCCGCGGCAAGCGTCATCTGCTGGCGTGCTTCTGATCGGGCGTGCAGGAGCGGTGAATCATCATCCTCGAGTGGTGATGCTTGTGCGGTGTGTGCAGCTGGGCCTGCGTTCATGTACTCTTCTCGCCATGCACGGGCCCTTGAGAGCATCATTTGCTTCGCCTCCTCCTTCCAACGCTCCACGTCTGCCTCTTCCAAATATGTTTCCATTTTCGCCATTGCTTCCGCCTTCCGGACACGGCAGGTGTCGCAAAGCGCTTGGGTCTCTGCGCACCATATGTATGGCTTTAGGACATAGTTCTGCACTGTTCTGAAGATGCGGGCTTGATGTCGCATTGCCTTCTGAACCAACAACACAGACCGCACGAAGCTCTTGACTGCACGTCGAAGCAAGTATGCTCGAGAAGATGCGCCAATGAAGATTTTCAACGCGTCTGCTGCGGCAGCCTTTCGGAGAGGACGCCGGAGTCGGGTATACGCAACCAGAATGCACAGCAATTTTTTCCAGGCCCGCCAGATCTGCAGGCTTCGACGCCTCGCTAGCTCAAGATCGCAAAGGCGAACCACCTCGGCCTGTACGGCTTCAAAGGTTCGACGCGTGAAGAGGCGGAGATCTTCGCCTTCCTGCAGGCATATCTGCCGGAAATCGTCACGATACACTCGAATAATACGCGTCCTATCTGCATTCCGGTCACTCAGGTCTCCTCCAGCGCAAATAACTTGCCGAGCCTGACGATGAACATCCACGAGCTTCTGAATCAGCGTGGTACTCAAGGCTAAAACAACTATGGTGACCCAAGGGCGTTCCCGCTGAGCCCTTTGATGCCGCGTCTGCTGCAGACGCTGACGCACGGCCTGCTCGAGACGCTTCTCGATTTGGATTTCCCGGGCTCTTTGGACCGCATCCCGAAGCCGCGCACTATGAGCCGAGCACTTGTCAGCTGATCTTGGAGTCCAAGGATGAGGTGACGCCCTTCTGGTCGAAGCTTGGCTCTTTGGCCGGCTCAAGTCCAGAAGATCCGTCTCGGTCACCCGCAGCCCGTGGGAACGCACTTTTGCCAGATTTACGAGAGGCTCGCCACTTGAGGACTCTTGACACATGAAGCCCTCTTCAACAACCCTCGTCAACGATTCAACTTCCTCGGTGTGATCACGGAAGTATTCCAGCTTCACACCCAGGCGGCTGGTGCTGGAGTTGATTTTGCGAACTTCGGGCACCTGATGCACGCTTGTGCCTGCCTTGTGTTTTGACAAGGCTTGCAGTGCCTTTTTCTTTTGTCCACCTCTGGCATAGTACTGGCTGTGGATCCACACATCCAAATCCTCATCTTGAGGCTTGGATGCTGCTTTCTCAGATCGTGGTCTGGGTGATGATCCCGGCCGCGCGTTCCCCTCAGGTGAAGCATCCTTCGCTCTCGCGTTTCTAGCTGTCAGACCGGGCGCTTTCTGAATCACATGGCAAATATCTGAACTCATTGCCGGCGGCATCCGCCTCACCCATAAAAGTTAGAACAGATCTGCTGCGGCTCTCAGCGGGCCTAGGCGCAGGGCTTGAGCCAACTCAGAGGATTGGTTGCTTGCAAGGTGCAAGGGCTTTCCGGCTCTAGTTCGCCCTCTCGCCGCAGTGCATCCCGGGTCCTTCCCCATGCATTTGGCTTTGCCTTTGATGAGCGTGCACCCTCACACATACTTCTTATCCCTACACGAGGTCATGCAATTTCAGACGCCAAGTGGCTCGTGTCCAAAGTCTTCTTGGCCGCGAGCAAGGACTTTAGCTCCTGAAGCATTGCTGCATGGCCAAGGTCTGCAGGGGAACATTGTGATGGTGCTGATGAGTCCTGCAGCTCCTCCCGTCGCAGCCTCACTTGCGCAGTCTGAATATGAGGAAACCAAGGGTGCTGTGATCCAGACAATTCAAGACTAAATCAACTTGCTGCCAAGAATCGGAGGTTCCACCCGGCAATACCTTTCCAGGGCTGGCTGGAAGGGCTTGCCGAGTATGGCCGGCAAACCATCCATCGTCCCTGCCGGCAGGGCATGTGCAGTCTTTGTATGGCCAACCCCTGGCCAGCGTGGAGATCCACAACCACGCCATCTATGATTCAACTCTCACAGGGCGCTCCCGCATGCGCCCGCCTGGTCCTGTTTTGCAGCTGGCGACTTGTCCGTGCTACAAAGCTGCGGGTCATGAATCAGAACAGAATTGAGAAGGAAAAGCATGAGTTTGGCAGCTGGGGGCATCTGATTGCGTGCTTAAAATACGTATCTGAATACACTTGGCTCGCCACTTGCTGGCACCACGCAAATCGGGCTGAGGCGAAGGACCTCATTGTTGCGACTGCAGCCGCGGCCATAATCCCAGCCTCAGCCTCCTTTCACCTTTTACGGTTAATTACTTTGATGCAGACTTTTCTCCAACATATTCAGAACACATCACAGGGAGCAATTTTTGAACCTCGGATTGTCAGCTGCGAATGTAACAGGGGGCTTCGATCTCTCTGAGCGCACCACCCCATCCTAAGAAGCTCCGCGCCTCCAGCTATAGCCTTAGTGCACAGCGCTGAAAGGATCCCCTCTCAGTGTCAAGCGTTGCTAGGCTGCGGGCGGTCAGCTGCCGCAGCCCAGCGCTAAGAATCCATCTCAGCATGCCATGACCTCAGAGAGCTAGGCTTTGCGATTGTCTTCAGACACCGTCTGTATCTCCTGCCAAAGAGCCATTGCCACCATTGCCCTGCACCTGATGACCATCGGTTCTCTTTGACGATGTTGCAGTCCTGTCTGTCCACTTCCAGGACTAGATGCCTCCATGCTACCCCTGCATGCTTATCCCAAACCATTGAAGGCGAGACGCGAGTCAGACACGATGCTGCTGTACATGCTGGCAGTGTCACCAGTCCTTGTCAGCGAACATGCGCCCACAGCAACTGAGGATCCGAAGGCTTACGGCCTTGAAGCAAAAAGGGTCGAGCTAAGAAGGAGACTCTTCCAGCTTGATGCCCATCAGCTTTGCATATTCCACCTTCCAGGGATGGGTTCCCATGACGGTGTAAAGTCTTGAAGCGCTAAGCTGCGCGCAGATCGGCCCCGCTTCCGGCATGCAACGCTGCAGTAGCATGCATCATGGCCTCTTCGGGGGCTGATGGGGGCCCCAGGACTTCAAGATGGTCTGCTGCACCATGGCAGCATGTCCGGGCCACGGGCACATATAGAGAGGCATTCCATCTTGGATGAGCGTGACCTGGACGAATTCACTTCTAAATGGGCTCCTGCCGGTCTTCTGTCAACTGACTGCCAGACGCAGTGGTGGCACCTGAAGTCTGCAAGGCCTGTTTCGCAGAGGTTTGCGACCACAGAGATGAGACTGACATGCATTGGACACGCAAGAAGCTAAGCCCAATGCTCATCGTCGTGAGGAAACGGCCGTCTGAGCAGCTATAGTAGCCGCTGCCCTGTTGGTGCAAGCTTTGAAAAACCCAAAAGCAAATGGAGGGGCGAGTTTGCAGCCTCGTCTGCGGCTGGTATATCTTGAAGCCTCACACTGCGTCATGTGCTGCACTGCAGCAGCTCTTGCGACAGTGCCCCAAACAAGGACAGAAAATGCTGCCAGGAAGCAAAAGCTGCAGCCACCGATTGGAAATGACAGCTGGAGCCAAGAAATGTCAATTCAAGCAACAAGCCAGTCTACTCGCCCAATGGGGCCTGGTTGTGTCAAGGGGCCCAGATGAAATTGCATCCTGTCCCAATCATAATCTCAATCACATCTTCAAGTTTATCTTTGCTTGTCATTGGCGGTGGTGGAGGCAAGGGACTGCTGCCGAAGCAACTCCTGCTCGGCAATCTAAATCAGCCGGTTAATCAGCGGCTACTCACCATGAACACTGATGGCTCAGATTCAGGTATCCACATTCACTGCTCAGCCTGCAGGGGCAAGTCTCGAACAGAAACAGAGTCAGCTCAATGCCAACGATGCTGTGCGACCTTGAAGGGGCTGCTAGGATGCGAGCGCCTGGTGGCACATGCCTGCAGGAGGTTCAGCAACAGCTGGCGGAAGCAGCTGCAGAAAAGCCGGGGGATACACGTTGCGGACTGCCAAGGCCTCATCCAAGAATGGTCCACAGGCTTCTGCAAGGAAATGGTGAAAGCCAATACAGTGACTGACCAGGTTGTCCGAGGTCGCGACTGACGGCCTGAGCAGCCAAGTTTCAGGTCGACCACTGACAGAAATTGCCACAAGAATCGTCACGACAGCTTTGGCCCCAGGCACAATGGACAAGGTCGCTGGGGCCCATTTTTGGAAGAGGCCTGCTGCCATCGCCACATACCTTGGATTCATCCCCATGAAGATGCATGGCTCAAACATGCTTAGATGCTGAGTGAGCGTTTCCTGCGCACACTCAGGCTTGAACATTCTGAATGGAAGTTATTCCCACAGGACCAGCAGAAGACTAGCTGGCCTGGCACAACTTTCTCACCAGCACTTGGCGCAGAAGGCTGCAGCATACTTTCGGGTTCGCAAAGCCAACGCTTGTGGCACCTGCTGCCTCTTCAGAGGCATGCATTGCCTGCACTGGAGGGTTGCAAGCAGACAGCGTTCAGCAACATGGCCGCTGCCATAGCTGGCACGTCTGGCACAGCAATCGGAGGGGCCTCGAAGCATACCGCACAGTCTTCACCTGCCACAGCACTGACAGCGTCTGTGAGGAGATGAAGTCAACGCCGAAGTCATGTATGAAAGGTTCACGGTCTTGCGGGCCAAGGCCTTCAAGTGGCTTCCGACACCGTGCAGCTTCCTGCACGTGCGGGAGAGGCGCGAGGCTTCAGCTCAAGTTTGACTCACAAGTCTATGCCAGCAGCTTTGCTGTTTACTTTTCACGTGCGCCGGCGCCAGACACAATACCTGGCAAAATGGTTTCGCTGGTCGGACACGCCAAACGGAACCTTGGTCACACGACGGTCAGATCAGCCCTTTTGTTCTTCAAACTTCCATCAACATGATTTGCAGGCAGAACACATAGAAGGCCCTCCATGGAAAAGGGGAGCGACTGGAATCCAGGAAGGGCTGGCAGTGCATCTCTTCCCATGTTGCAGAATCTGGAGGCTCCTCAGTGAATTCCAGGCAAGGCATCTGCCAGCATTTTGGGGTGCAGGCGCCTCTTTCTGATCCTGCAGGACCAGGTCCACGAGAAGGCTACCTCAAAATGACCACTGGCATGAAGGTCCCAGCGGCTCAGATGTGTCAACTTGAGGGTACCGCATTCTTCCTCATGATGATACCGCGAAGGTTCCCGCAGGTTCCGATCATTCATGTCTGGAGGCACCTGCATCGTGAAAGCCCTGCTTGTATGCATCAGACATACCCGAGGCTGAAATTTCCCGGTAGTTTCCTGCCTGCCACAAGCCCTCGGGCCAAGCAGCAAATGGCCTATCCAAGCAGCCACAAGTGTAGCACTCTTTGTTTGCTTGTTCTTCCTGCTGCGCTCAACCTTCTCGCAGGCCCTGAATCCTAAACTCTAAACTTACCGGGGGTTAGCAAAGAATAAGAGAATATAATCCCTACATCATATTTCCTTTCTTACCTACTAACCCCTAGTAAGTACACTGCATCCGTTTTCTTCACAAAACAAAGCCCCGACCAGACTCGGCTTCTAGCAAAGAAGTGATAGGAATAATAACGGCAATAATCAGAATAGTAACCGTAAGAATGATAATAATAATAATAATAATGACAGTATTCGTAATGGTAATACTACTAATCCCCTCCCCCTAATATAAAACCTCCCCACAAATATGAAATACTCTCCATTGTGGTATATTATAGTACGTTGGGCATATTCAATAGAAGGCGGGGGGGGGGTTAATATTAGGCGGAGGGGATTAATGATAGTGTTTGGAGAAGCCCTGGGGCTGATGGACAAAAATGGAAGCTACGATTTAGGCTAGTATAGGGGTATATAGGGTGTATAGGGATAATGGAGAGGAAAGTGGGAACTACTATTCAGAATCTTGGGGTTTAGCGGCGAATGTATTGGGATACACGAAAATGAAATGGAAACTACTTACTATAGCAAATTGGAGTAAATATTGGGATATTATATTTGTACCCCAAAAACGGAAAATCAAATCGAAATCGTGGTTTATCAGGTTTAGGGCTTGGCAGAGGAAATCGGAGCAGTGCGGAAAGTGCTCGCGTGTGGTTACAAAATTCATTCCCGACACACTTGACGTCCATGCGTATTGATTCATGGCCATTGCCACAGCCATTGCCGCTTCGATTGCGCATACTGCGATTTGAGCGACCTAGTACCATATTGTGTATACCGGCCATACGCCGACTCCAAGTACAGGGTGCCTCCGGGAGTACAGGGATTGTAATGGACCCCTGATTTCGAAGCAGGGCAATGGTCTGCTTGCCTCGGCAGCTGCCCATCGAAGGAAGAGTTGACCCAGAGAAGTGGCAAAGTTTCTGCCTGCCACTGCGGCTGCAAGCGACAGACAGACACTCACATAGGGGGCTGTCAAAATTATGGTCCCCTCTTGGGTACCCTAAATATTAGGTGCCGTATTATAATAGTAAGCCAAAAAGGGCCATAGTTTTGACAACCACCCACATGGGTGCGTCAGACATGCTGGTGCATGCACACCTTTGGTACCCCCCACGTGGCTACCTTTTTGTCTTTCTTGCTTCAAATGTTAACTGCCACCAGAATCACTGCATTGTCTCAAAAACAGATTTGTTGGAGTCCTCACTCTGCATGATTCCACCAGCCAAAAAAAGTTATATCTGGGACGGCACACTACTTATTTCAACTGTGCTGTGCTGCCTTTCTATAAAAGACTAGTCAGGGTTTTTTCAATGAACCCAGGAATTGGTTAATTTTGCATTGGGTTTATACACAATCGCGAACATCCAGGAACCTGTGTTCACGGATCGGAGTTGAATCGATTGGCGAGAAATTGTGTGTTTATGGGATCGAGCACCATCCAGGAACGGCTGGATTCCGACTCAAACCTGTTTGTTGACGGAATGAGCCCATCCAAGCCCCTTTCAGGAATGGGTGGAATCATAATTGACTTTGATTGTTCTTCATTGGTGGTAATCTGGAATAATCTGGAACCATGCGCCACCACCCAGGAGAAGGTGAGATCCTAATTGAATGCGACTATTGTTAGCTAGTTTTTAATATGAATCAAGGATCATTCAGGAATCTGCGGTCTGCAATCGGAGACTTTCCAGGAGTTGTCGGGTCCTACTTGAAGCCATGCAGGTTTTTAGCCACCAAAGGTGGGCATTGAGCGGCCGATCCATATATAAACAAATGTGCAAAACCTGTTTTTGCACATGTACCACCACATCATGTTCGCACTTTCCTGTGTGCGACGGCCACAAGCATGAATCTCGAGATACGAGTATACAGCAGGTTGCTAGTGGAAGCTTGGGCCACAAGGATTTATCAGCAGAGCGCACTACTGATTAGGAAACGCACGCGAACGTGCTTCTGTGTGGAATGTCTTCGTACACATCCACCCCCCAGAGGGACATTCTCTCCCTGCAGTTGCGTCCCATGAACAATCGTGATTCCGCCGATGCAACTTTTTCCGGTTGTTTGCTAGGCACCAGTCAAGAGGAGGGATTGCTCCGTCAGCTTGCCCAGCTTCTGCAAGGCCTGGCGGTTTGTTGCTTCCCAGTTTTGACAGGGGGGGTGATAGGATCCCAATCTGCTTGAGTCCGGCTGTCAACGGGACAAGAAGTCTAGAGCAGAAGCCCCATGGTGCCTCTGATGCTCCTGCCTCTGCAGGAGGCTGACCTGTCTCAAGCAGAGGAGCACATGTCGTACCACACAGATCACACAGGTACATTGAGTGATTGAAGGCCTGCAATCAGTCCACCCTGCTGAGCCCATGTGAGCCACGGCCGCCAGCCCTGCTCATCAGCAGCCAGTGTGTCGAAATTGCCGATGATCACCTTGGCCAACAACAAACTGACCTTGACGTTCGGCTTTGCATGTCCTGACTTCCTCTAAGTCTGCTAAAGCCTAACTACCTCTCCGTGCAACAAGTTGCCAGACCACGCTTTGCACGGGTGAGAGTGACATTCAGCCGTCTAGGGTCGCCAATGAATCCAACGTTGCCGTTCTTGTTGGACCTTACGGTCGACACCAAGATCACATCCTGAAGGGACAGGCGCAAGACTAAGCAAATGAGCTTGTCAAATCAATATTTTCTTGCTCCGAAGCAGTCCTTCTCGCGACCCTGAAACCCATCGACGGAACTCACTTCCACAGCTGCCATGCCCGTAGCTGCCACGAGACGTTTGCCTGGCGGAGGACAGCCCAGGAGCTTGCGTATCATCCGCGCCTGCGCAGCATACGGTGTGATGACACCAACTTCTTCCGGTCTCACATCTTCCCATCGCAGCAGGCTTTGGAGGATCTCCTTCAGAGCCTCCATTTCAGCTGCGTTTGTCCATGAGGTTCCCTCTGAAGACTCACGGCCGACCACAGGCAGAAATGAAATCGGAGCATCAGCCAGAGGCCATGAGATGCCCTGAGGCGGTTGTCGCTTCAGCCCTGAGACCCCAGAGCGTATCTGGCCTCCGTAGTAGGCGAGAGACGGATACAAAGCTATACACGGATGCATGCGGTATTGTATGTTGAGCAGGTGTGGCTCCACTCCCTGCGATGTCATTCGTTCGAAAAGAGAAGTGCCGAAGCCTTCCACATCCACCTCAATATTTGTGACGGTCGGTGGAAGCTGTCGGTGGTCCCCAACCAAAGCAACTGCACTCTCGGCCTTCAGCTTCATCAACGGCACCAATGTTGCCAATTCTGTCGCTTGGCCTGCCTCATCCACAAGAACCCTTGCAAAGTTCATCTTTTCCATCACAGGGTGATCAGCGCCAGCGCAGGTGGCACAAACTACGTCGGCTTTGGTTAGCAAGCCTCTCATGAGGGCATACTGCTGTTGGGGATCAAAGCCCGCGGAACTGGCTCCGCTGACCATCTGCAGAAGGTTGTACTGCTCGAGGTCTGCGCGTGTGGCCTCAGGACGGCCGATCCGAATCACGTTCAGACCAGCCTGGGCACAGCCATCCACAAGGTTATCCACTGCAATGTTGCTGTCGGCTGAACATAACACCGGCTTATAGCTGGACTCGATCCAGCATCGGACAAGCAGCAAAGCAGTAGTGGTTTTGCCCGTGCCAGGGGGGCCCTGGATCAGGGTGAGTCGCCTGGAAAAAGCCAACGTTAATGCATGGCGTTGTGATTCGTTCGCCTGGAGGAGGATGCCGGTGTGACCAGGGATCTTTGCAACGGTAGACTGCTCTGATGCGAGAAGTGGTTCCAGCCCAGGTTGGCCGCCTGAATCCGAATTCAGCAGCAGCTTGGACATCCACGTTGCTTCGGAATCGCCTTTGTCCTTGGAAGCTCCTTGCATCGCGGCTGCGAGAAGCTGGGGGTTCCACTGGATGGCCTGTGGCTCCGATGGGTCATCTACCCTACACAAACGATGCAAGGCCTCAATCTGACGGCTTAATGTGACATGGTTTGCGATCCTGTCTAAACGGCAGCTCCGGCCACGGACTTTGTTGGCCGTGCCTGCTGGAGACTCCCCTACGACTCTGAGCTCCAGCCGTTCACCCTGCACTGACACGATCTCCACTTCACAGCAAACCTCCTCAGGTCGCTCCTGCTCACTGGGAGTGGCCGTGTGGGGGCTTGTCATCAGTAGCCAATCACCTCTTTGAAAATTGTGAGGCCATCCACTGCTCACCCCTGCAGGCATTGCTAGCAGCTGTGAGGCTTTGCTTCCAGCAGTGACTTGCAGATGTTGGATGCATGCTCCGTTCCTATCAAGAACCCATGGAGGCACATTCTGTGCCATGGCAATAGCGGAGTGAGCATCTGAGATGAAATCTCGAACAGCCCAACGGGAAAATCGTCCGAAGTATTCTTTGCCTGCGACGGTTGGAAAAAGACCCATCTGCTGCTCATCGATGATGTTGAACACTTCGAGAGCCGCTGCCTCTTTGGTTCTTAAGCCGAAGCTGTCCACCAGTTTGGCAAATTGCTTCACGGTGATTGTTGTTCCAGCCATCGCACGTAAACTCTGCGCAGCTCGATCTGCCTGGCCAACTCGCAGCAGCTCAACCAGCTTGGAGATCTGGCCTTCACCAGCTGGTCTCCCTGTTCTCACGGTTGCCGTCAGAAGGTCTGAGGGAACCAGCCCAGGTTGAATCGGAGCACGCAAAACAGGAGCGGTCATCGCAACTTGGACCGCCTGAGCCTGCTTTTTGGCGGGTACTGGCGTCGTCCAATCCTGACTTTTTCGCTTTGTTGGCTGAGTGGGTGGTGGGGCCTGAGTCAAGCCTCGCCTGTCTAAAGCTTCCACGTAATCGAGAATTGCCTGGAGCTTTGCAGCTGGCTTGCTCTTGCCCCGACCCTCCTTAGAGAAATGGACAGCAAAGAAAAGAACCAACAACACTCCGAACCAAAAACACTCCGTCTCCAAGCAGCAGGGGTTACACACCAGAATGGGGAATCAAATGGAAAAGACAAATTGCTAAACTGAAACTACTATGCTTATATGTATATATGTATATGTTGGGGTTATATAGGGGTATAAGAATGGGAAGTTCTTAAAATCTTCGACCAAGGTTCGGCTCTGATGGATACGCCTGGGACGGATATGCTGCAGACAAAAGACTGCGTAAACGGCCCGGGTCCACGCATCTCGGTGATCCTTGGGTTGCTTGCTACCTTTCACATGGTCTTTCTTCCAAAAAGAGGTGAGGCTGGCACAAGACAAGAGACTTGGGGGTTTATCAAAAATAGGGGTACCTTTTTGGGGGTCCCCAAAAGAAGGATTATAGTATATTAGTGTCTATATTGGGGTCCCCCTGTTTTGGGAAACTAGCACTTGTTAAGCCTGGCATCTGGATTGACGGCTTAACGCCTTTGAGCTGGCAGAAGCGGTTGAAGATCTCTGGCGGTCCATGAGGTCCGCCATTAGCCATAAGCTTGAGTTGCAAGTCTGACAATGTGAGAAGTGTGGTAGGGGCAGTAACGTGTCCCTCTGCCTGCCAAGGACTCAAAAATCATTCCAGTCATTCCATATGAAGGTTTTCATGTCAGCAGTCTATGTTCCCAGGATTCTGTCTGTCGTGATGGCTGAACCTGCAGAATGTGCTGGCATAAGCTCTCTTGATATCAGGAAAGGCCGGGACGAGTGGCGGCGGATGCGGCGGCAAGGGTCTTTGAACGCTTGTATGGGAACAGGAACAGCCTTCCCTGGGCAAACGAGCCTCTGAGCTTGGCAGGAAAAAGCTCGAGGGAAAGCGATACCACTCCTGCAGTTCAACGCCAGCATGCATGGCGCGTTGTAAACGTGACTGCAACATGTCCAGGTCCTTACCCACACAGAGGCCGCCCTGCCCGGCAATGGCTGGAAAGGAAAGGGCGTCAGAGCCATGCCGGTACAGCTTCTCCTCGGCTCTGAACTTGAAGTGAGGTAAGTCAGGCAACATGTTGCGTCTTGATATTATGTGGATAGAACGAGAACTAGCAGCCCATGACATTGTACCCCTGCACCTCTCAGCACTCTGTACTCCATTCCCAGTCTTTCTGGTAGCGCTGGTGCAGCGCATGCTTGGAGATAGATTCTTAGAATTGGTATCGCAGCTGCCAGGCTTGGGGGACGTACTCTCAAGCAGACATCACACAGACAATCATAAAGGGAAGGGCTCGTACACTTGCAGCGGCGCCATGAAGTGGAAGTGAAGAGCAGCGCTTCTGGAAACAGAGGTGACCGCAAACACCATGACACAAGCCGCGGCCATCAATGATGACACCACCTGACATGTTCCAGCACTCCGGCTACAGTACATGCTGGCACTTTGGCCGAGCAAGAGTTCCCCGTGCATGAGCATGTTTAACGCTCTCGTTCTGCGAATGTACCCGCACCAAACGCACAATGGAGAGCCAGGAACTACGACCATTGCCGCCTTACGTGAGACTGACAAGTCCAAGAAGGAGAAAGGAGCATGCCAAGAGAAGCTGCGTAGTCTGGAGCAGGAGCTTGTGACACGAAGTCTTCACACCGCTGCCAGCACTTGCGGCCTTGCTCGTTCTCCACGTCCGCGTGCATGAAGCGTCATCTTCTCGCAGGAGTAAACTGACCTGATAAGCTGAATCAAGAGCTCAGCATTTTAGGGGGCCTCTGTGTGCTTCCCAAGTGGCGACTTTTTCTACACCAGCTAGAAGCGTGTCCACCGTCATGGCCTCTGCATTGGTTAGGGTCATGTGATGAATCATCACCGGACCTCTTAAGATCCCATCAGTGCTATCTCAGGCGCTGCGGATAGGCACAGCAGCGGGTACAACATTGTCAGAAAGCCTCAGCCATGCCATTTGATCATACAACCTTCTCCACGGGGTGGCAATTTCTGGGGATGCTGCGCTCTTCCTTATGTGCCATCTTCGTAAACATTGCCTCCGCGTAGGCTGAAGCTTCGGCAAGGGAACGCAGCAAGTGGAGCATACACTAGGGCAAAAACGTCTACAGAGCATTACAGAGCTAGCAACGCTGAAGGGCATCAACCACAAGCAGCTTGAGAGAGCCAAGCCGCTAGCGTGATGTACATTGGCAATATCACAATTGCATGCTGCCGTCTGCGAAGGCAGCACGGCAGGGCCGGCAACGCCAACAGCGCAACAAGGTTAAAGTTCAGCAGAAGGTTCCTTGTCAGGAATCCAGGTTTGCTTGCAATTAGTCATGCAAGGCCATGATACGAAGGTGCAAAGCACTCATGGGCTCTCTGGAGACGGGCTGCTTTGCATAGAACGTCCATGGCTCTGTCCCATACAGATCTGCACCAGCACCCCCACCACCACCGATTCCGAAGTTGTACAGTAAGTGGTTGCCCATCCTTGAATTGAACATGCTACCAGGATCCAAGGAAGCCCTTAACGAAACAAACAAATAAGTCGGGAAAATGCAAAGCCCTTCACGCAAGGCGAGCGACAAAGGCTGCAGACTGTTCGAGTTCGAGGGATTTTGGTTCACGTGACTTCAAAACATACATGTGCAAAGGCATGCCTCGACATGTACTAAATCATCCCAGGCGCGCCCAGACAGGCAACCGAGTGCCGTAGTAGCCTCAAATGCTGTGCAACTATATATATATATATTGAAACTGCGGCAAGATAGGGCACGCCAAGGAGCTCCAGTCCACTAGCGAGGGAAGAACAGCAAAAAACAAGAGCGCGCCGATAGCAATACCCAGAACGCCTCAAAGCTCCCAGAGTGCTTCGTCATCGTGCATTCTAAATCAGTGTTTCTTCTGCATGCCGGAATCAATACTCCTTCTGCATGCCCAAGGCTATTGCGACTGGGCATCGGCAGAAACCCAGATTCTGAGGAGCCAGTGCTGCGAGGCCCATGGGCACGAACATCCTCATGCAGCTTTTGTAAAACAATGACTCTCCTCCTGCCCTCTTGCTCAGAAATCGAAGTGGGAAGCAAGGCTCGGAACGGCGACAGCCATACCCAGCAGTACGGCGAACGACCTCAGCTGACTGCCAGGCTAAAGCGATATAAAGCGATAGCAGTAGCGCATTACGCATGCTGAGCATCGAGACCCGCAAGCAAGTCCCAACGCAAAGCGCTTGCGCAGCCATGCTGCGAAGCCCAGCAGGACGGCGTACCTGTCTGTTGACACTTGGCTCGCAAAAACTCGACACAATGTAGCAACATTATGGCGGGGGGGGGGGGCGCTAAGGCGTGGTAAATACGCCAAACGGAACGCCAAGCGTGGGCAAGCAGTTGTCGCTCGGCTAATTAGCCACGCGCGGGTTGACCACGCCCTTCCTTGCTGTCAGAGCGTTTTGACGTAGCCTGCGTAGCCTGTGTATTGCTGCTGACCCAAGCTTCATGAGCTTCGCACGAAACTCCAAGCTTTGGAACATCATGCTCTAATTGCCAAGCCTGATCTGAGGGAACTCGGCAGCACACATCAGCACGTATCCACCCATAATGGCAGGAAGCCAGTTCCAGGCTGACAGGCAGAGGAGCCTACTGCTCTCAAGTGGCTTGGCTCCGCTCTGGAGGGCTCGCGGGGTGTGGACTATTGCTTGAGCGCCTCACCTCTGGACCACCTTTCAAAGATGCGAGGGTATCGTATTGTCATCTTGGGCGGTCCTGATGCGTCTTCCAGTGCCCAATCTCTAGGACACATTTCAGCGGTAGACGAAGCCAATGCGCTTCATTTGTGGCACGTATGCACCATGGCTTAGTTTGAGGCAGCACTGCTTTATGACATGCAGGCCAGGCACATGCAGGTAGACGATGGCAGCACAGCCACGGATGCGTGAAACATCCCACCTACCGGGACTTTTCTGGAAGTCGCTCAGTGCAATTGGCAATAAGCAGGAAATGTGCTCCTGAGCGCCTCACTCGCAGCAGCCAAAAAGCAAAACGTCAGGATGGCTATCTCAAGCGCAAAGATGTCTTCGAGACTAGCTGCAGGCTTGTGGACACTGATCTGGGTGCACCGCTCTGTGACCGCAAGAGCTTTGGACTGCATCGCAGAAGCATGCTTCCTTGACTTGAAACACTGCGAATCTCTCTGACTACTCTGACTCCAATGCTCGAGGGGGACACAACAAGCACTGACAGCTCCGCAACAACCTCGCAAGCAGTAGAACGCCTGCACCTGGTGCAACCGCATTAGGATGCAAGTTGAGAACAGGCCATCTACTAGGTGTCCTGATGTCTCCTGCTTGGCTTTGTTGCCACTTTTCTTTCCTCATTGGTAGTTTCCCTGAATAGCGAGAAACTAACATAGACCCCAAAATACTATAGTCCTAATTATGGGAACCCCGAAAAGGGTACCCTATTCTTGGAAAACCCCCACTGTGATGTGAATAACTTGTCCTACTGTTCCTTCCCGCGTGCCTCCTAGCTCTCTCTTGGTCTTGCACCCTTGCATCACTTCCAGCTCCCTGAATTTTCCTCTTGACCAGGGCGGGATACCATGATGTCCCTTCATTATGCCTCCTGACAGACTAGGTGTGCGTCGACGCCGTGTTGATCCCTGCATTCTAACACGGCGTCTGTTTTTCTACTTTTGTATGCTGTTCTCCATCAAACATGCCGCAGGCTTGGCTTTGTTGACATGGAAGATGTCTCTTGAACAACTGATGCTGCTCCTGCAATGCCTTGTCAAATCCCAGCATTTGCGAAAGTCTGATTGGCAAGGAGTAGAGCTCCACATAGGCATACCTGGTAGGTTGGACTGCGCAGGCTGGGTTACATACTCCTTGCAGTGCCGCAGGAATTCTGCTGACGAGCGGCGATCGCAAAGCAAACTGTGGCGAGTACTCCTTCAGAAAGCCCAGTTGGCGTTTGCTAGGCCACGACACTGCTTGCTAGTTGGCACCCGGACCCATGTCTGCATGCCAGTGCCGTATGTGACATAGTGAATGGGCTCCTAAGATGTGGTAAATTCAGGAATCTGCAGGATGACGCGCAAAAAAAACAGCATACAAGCAAAACTGGTGCCAGAGTTCGACATAGTTGAAGGTCTCATCACAATCCATGATCGGGGCCTTGGAGCACAAGGAGCTGTACGAGTTCCCCCAGCATGCCTCGTTTTTGAACAAGCTGAGTCAGGTTCCAGCATCGCGCAAGCGAGGCGCACTACCAGGAGGATGCTGAACATGACATGCCTTTGCTCACCCAACTTGCACAGCGGGCATGGCTGTAGATACTAAACTAAAATATGGGTTGTTCTCAAAATTGTGGGCCCCTTTTGGTTATAGATGATAGTCGGCACCTAACATTTAGGGGTACCAAAATCGGAGCCCAATTTGGGAACTACTCATGCAAATAAATTGAACTTTGAAGCTACCAGGTTGCAGGCTGACTGCAGGCGCCGAAGCATCACTAGAACCCCTGCCCATGGCGCAGGCAAGTCTCAAACTGTTACTAACAGCATCGAGCCAACAGCTGCCATGAGCCAAAGTAACCGTCAGGAAATGGCATCTGGAAAGAGGACAGCCATGCTGCCATTTTATATAAGGATAATTATGGAAACTACCATATTATTATTGAGTGTATATAGGGTCTATAATGTAAAGGGACTGGAGGGACTGGAGCGACTGAAGCTGTCCTGATCGCTTGTTGTATCGCCATGCCTGTCAGCAAGATCGAAAAGCAGGCGCTTGGCTACCATGCAGCTTCAAGGAGGCTATCGAGTCTGCGACGATCCCGTCGCTTTTCTGTAGGCTTCCTGCACTTCCTGTGTAGCTCAAGGGAGCGCTTATGCACACTGGGTCAGATAGTTCAGCTCAAGTCCTTGTCTGCAAGGGGGAGTGCCCATTTCGCACAGCGCTTGAACAGTGGTTCAACCTTTGAAGAAGCAGAGAATGAATGTCATTGTCGAGAGGCCAGCCACGCGCTGAGCACGTGGTGCCGTGAAGATTGCATAGTGAGGAGAGAACTGCTGATCTTACTTCCGAAGACAGGAGAGCTGTTTGCCAAATCCTGTGGTCGTCCTCAAGCGCAGACGCCGCGGACAATGATGCTGGTTCTATGGCTCGACATACAAACAATGCGTCAGTCTGCGGAAGTCACCTGCTTTTATTGCCGAGCCTCCAGCCTGCATGCATGAGAGGGCGCCAGTATCAACTTGATATGTCAGTCACAACTCAGAAAAAGCAAAGCCAACTTGCACGGCTCAGTGCAAGGAAAGCTTCGATCTAAGCTTGGCGACTTCCTGAGCTTGTGCATCTTTAGTTCATCCAGGGGCCAAGTGTCTCTTGAAGTGGCTTTGGTGGTCGGATCTTCGTAGCTTCCTGCTTTGCCCTTTATATGACATCTTCTGTCTGCCCTAGTGTCACTTTCCATCCTTGGCCTGGCACAGGAAGAGATGGTAAAGTCAATAGGCACAGACCGCCTCTGCCTGAAGGCTATCTAACCAAACAACCCAGTCACTGGTGCCCAGTGTGGACCTGTACCTGCTTCAGCAACTTTTGATGTACCTTTGCTGTCCTTTGCGAGCAGACTCCATCCGCAGCCATCATGCTTGCACCAAACTCGGACACTCAAAATGGTGTGTGTTCTTACTGGGCGTATGCCCTCAAATCTCTGCCTCCTTGTTAGCACTTTTCAGCGCCACCTCACCACACAACTGTTGTTACATTCAATATCAAAAGGACTACCCATCGAACGCCACCATGGTGGCATGTTGGGAGCAAAACCGCAGGTAGTCGGCATTGTATCTGGCTTGCGTGCACTTCTGCTTTGCTCTTGGCTCTGCCACCTCAGGCGCAATCTGCGGATGAATGACAGTTTACCTTCGTGCTTTACCTGGTGCTTTCAAGGCTTTGTCTTCGAACACCTGTCTCCGAGGCCGGACTTTGTACTTTGCTTCTCATTCGCCCACAAACACGTACATCAGGCTTCGCTTCACACGCTTCGGCTTGCTTCGAATCGTCGCCTTCGTGTTTTGGCTTTGGCTGTCGTTTGGCCTTTGGATTTCTTCAGCTTGTCTTCTTTTTGCTTTAATCTTGCATGGTGCTTCCTGCTGTTCTTTGTCCACCTTCTTTGCTTCCCCTTGTTGCTTCTGTCTTTATTTATCTTGTTTTTGTTCTTTGCTTTTTTGACTTCACTTTCTTTCTGCTTTGTCCTCCGGATTTCGGCTTCTGTTTCAGCATATCTTAGCAGACTTCATCACTTTCTTTGGCTTTTTGCCCAAGGCTTCCCTTTTGCTTTTGTCGCTCCTTGGTCAGCTTGCTGCAAGGCCCAGCAGCCTTGGCCTTGGCTTCTTCGGCGCATTCGCAGGCTTTTTCTTCGCTCTTCCTTGTTCCTCTCAGAAGCCTCTTCTCAACGTGCAGACAATCGGCAGCGCACTGAGGCGCAGCTCCATCATACGTTCACTACAAGAACCAAGCCGGCTTCCATCTGCGCAAGAACGAAAAAAGTGTGCCGCCACAAGAAATTTGCAGCGAGACCGGAGTGGCTTGCTATCCTGTCAGCTTCTGCCACCATGAACTTTTTGAGCTTCCCTAGATGCTTCTTTTCAGCGCCTGCAGTACTCACAGTAGGTGCATCAACTCCGTGTCAGGAATGCAAAAATGCACCAAACCAACCATCAACTGACTACTATAGGCAAATTAGAATGAACAAGACCGTCGCCACTAGGAACATCTTTTCCTGAGCGTTTGATGTCATGTAAGTTCCGCTGGCTAGCCGGCAAAATGTAAGATGCCGCCTGCTTATACCTCAGCGCGCCACTTCTGAGATTTTGGAGGCTGAGATTGGGCAGAATTTGATGGCAGAAACCCGTATTGGCCTGAGTTGGCCTGCACTGTGTTTGAGTCCAGTCCTCTTCGAGCCGCAGCACCCGAAGCCAAACAAAGAGAACATGCCTCGCGGGATGTGTCCAACAGATAGGATCAAGGTTGGCCGCTTCACAAACATGTTTCGGGTTGCTGTGTTGGTCATCACTGCATCGCTGCGGGAAACTCGATCACGTACGTGCAACACAGCGCAGCATGAATGTCGGTCTTGTATTCCTTTGCGAGGCATTTGCCACATCCTTGTCCTGGTGCAAGGGTGTTGAGTCTTAGACGCCGAGGCAGGCGAGCAGCTGCCTGGCCTTCATTAACACGCTCCTTAGGCCTTAGGCCTAGGTGCGGCTTCGTTCACAAATGTTCGAATGTTGAACTGCAACGGCTATCAGCACAGATCTGCGATGATGTTAGCAACAGCTAGCAGCGCAGCTGGCAGCGCAGCTAGCAGCTGGCAAAGAAATCGTCCCAGCCATCTCCAGGATCATCATAAGGGAGCTCCCTTGGATGGTCCTGGGACATCGGGCTGGGCTCGGGCCATCTCTACTAACTTTGATTCGAGCGTAGACCATACCAGGGTTGGGCTCAAGTCTCCTCGGGGTTTGAATAGAAGTTGCTGAGGTCCCTGTTGCTTCGCACGAGCGGTGTGTGTGGAGTTGGCATTGTGGAAGCCTTCACTGCCTCAGATCGCCCCCCCATTATCATAACCTGCGCCCCGCGAAAAACATCAGTAGGCAGGTCTACCGAGTCCATTAGTACATGCGGCAACGGCGCACTGGCATCGAAGCCTGAGTACCATCCATGTTTCCACAGATTGGCGATGCCCCCTGGCAGCACGCAAAGCCGCTTCGCCGGGTCACGTATGCAGAGCCTTGTCATACAGGGGAATCCGGGAAAGATTTTAACAACTACTCCCGACACACCTGCACAATGCAGGAGCCTGTTTTGAAAGTACTTCTACACCTTGTATCAGACGAGGTTCACCTTCACGAGCTCTTCCACACTACCAATCATCGAAGCCGGGAACCTTACCTTCTCCTCGGCGGGCCGAAGTTTGAAGAATGAGAAAAGTGAGAAGCTATTGCGATGCCAAATTTCGAGCCTCATGCGGTTTTGATACTTTACCTTGCTTCACTTACTCTGGTGAAGCAAGGGGAAATTCACGGCAACTGTATTTAGACTGTAGCTGCAGCTGGGATGTCGAAGACGAAGATGAGAGGACGTAGGTGCACCCCCAAGGCAACATGGCTTCCGCGACTGAATCGCTCTACCCCCCTCCCGGTGCCAACAGGCACAAATCTTGTGCTTTTCGAAAAGCAAAGTTAGAGGGCCTACAAACCTTGAACAACCTTGATGGAGGCAAATAGCACATCTGCACATGGAGCACCAACTGAGCCAAGCTTCGATCCCCCTCTCAATCTTAGCGAACGTCTGAAATGGGTATGCAGACTCGAATGGTGGCTTTCCCGCCATGAGCTCGAAGATGAGAACTCCCAAGCACCACCAGTCAAGAGCGCAATCATGCCCGTTTGCCTGGCCACGCAACTCTCTCTGGACCGCCAGTGTTGTTCAAAGTCTTGTGCAGCCATGCCTTGACCATCTCTGGGGCGAAATAGTCTGGTGTTCCCACAACCGTGTAGGTGCTTCCCGTAGCAAACTTGGCAGAGCCCATGTCCTTGGAGCAGACGAAGCAGACGTGCAGGAGGTGGACAACTAGGACATGCAAGCAACAAACGACTCGGCTTTAAATCAACCATGCATCTGTTAACTTCAGGCCGCCTTTATGGTCCAGAAGCAAGTTCCTCAGTCCCGAAGCTGCACAGCAGCAGATTGCTGGCCACTGGAAGAACTGCGAGCAAGAAACTCTGGCTTCAAGTCCCTGTAAATCACACGGCGGTCATGCATGTGCTCGAGAGCAAAGGCCACACCAGCCATGTAGTACCTCTGGCGGAAAGGCCACCAGCGCAAACCGCAGAGCTGGCTCCCTTGATGCCTTGTGTGGAACTCACTGCCAAAGAAGCCCTGCTTCTTGTAGATAGTAAAAAGCTCGCCGCCAAGCGCAGCCTGTAATGGAACATGAAAGCACGCAGGGACAACGGCAAACACTCAGAACAATGAAAGTTCAAATGATCTACGCTGCACAGGCCACACTGGTTTGTGACTGAAATCTTTGCCACTTGCCCGTGTCCTCCAAGAGGAAACCCAGTGAGGTCTTTGTGCTGTACGTCTCCTGGGCACCAACTCAGACAGCGTAACGGTAGGCAAACAAAAAGTGAAAGACACAAAAATTTCCGCTTAGGGCCTGTTGCATGCTCTGGACCAAAATTGCTACGCATCATGTTGACGATTGCTGCACAGCAATGTCCTTTCTTCAGGCAGTAGGATTGTGTGGCTGAGTTTTGTGAGACGAGTCTTTCTTGCTGGGGGAGCTTTTCAGGGGAGCTCTTCAGTGCATGTGGTCAAGCTGAGCTGCATAAAGCTTGATGATGAATGGAGAGCTGGTCATGTAGAGGACATCCTTCTCATTGGCAATAGCCCCCTTCATGTTTGCTGCCAAGATGTAGCCTGCACATACAGCCAACACGGCAAGCATGCAAGGGCAATCTGGTCTCACGCATGGCTCTGTAGTCAACAGGCCTTTGCTGACAGTTTTCAAGGCATACGTGTTGCCCGTCTCTGAATGCTGCACCAGGTCAACCGTTGAAAAGCCGCCGCCTTAGACAAAGTTGTCCAAGGCCACTTGCTGCTTGCAACTATCTTAAGTACCCAGAACTCAAGATACAATACGATGCATGCAGGCCAGGTGCAGCCAAATCGTCCACAATAGACCAGCTCTTTATGCAAGATCTTGTCCTCAGCCAAAGCGTTTTTTGGCTTCCCGGAACTCACCTCAACCCTTGTTGGCCATTTTGCTCAAGTCTGGCCATGTCTCTCGTTCTGGATCACCTGAGCAGATGTCTCGCCAACTGCTGACATACAGTCAAACAATGGCATGCCATGCCAAGCGATATCAAGGCATATCAAGCTGCCGGGATGGTGCGACTTTTTCTTCTCTGCCTGCCCACAATGAACAGCAGGTGCACAAGACGGCAAAAATGTTCTTGCATGCCAAGTTGCCAGGCCATGTAACGACTTGAGTGCATTCCTAATGAGAGCACGGAGGAACACGTGAGGCAAAAGCCCATAGCATGGCATCACACCATCAACAGTCGCTCCATCCCTGAGGCTGCGTCTCCAGCACCTCTTTCAATAGCCCCATGTGCTCGTCAAATGCCTCCTGCATGTGTCAGATCCCAGCTTCGCACACGACGAGACTGTGCTGTTGTGCAGGTTGTTGACGACTAACAGCTAACAAGTTGATGCAGCACAACGACGTCCTTGTCCAACATGAGGCACCGGGCAGACTGCGGCAAGATGCAGGGGCAATGAGCAAAGCTTGCATGTTCTGGCTTGCAAAACTGACTAGCCGCCAACCTCTGAGATGACCTTGACAGTCGCAGCACGGGGCTCTTGGTACAAGAGGGCCCTCTCACCAAAGTAGGGGATGTTGTTCTTTGCCTCAGCTTGTAAAAGCATCCAGCCTGAGCACATGACGTGTGGTGATGTTTACGGTGCAGCTGGCGAGCAATGTTGGCTTCAAGCTCCCCAGCCATCAAACCATCCCTCATAATGGCTACCTTGATGGAGAGGGATGCATCACAGCTGGTGCAACAAAGTGAGGCTCAAGAAGCTATTCACAGCATCTGGCCTTGCCCTCTACCAGAATGAAGAAAGTATTGCCAGGCGCCTCAGGTTACGCACTGCAGTTTGGAAATCAAAGGTGGGGCTCAAGGGAGTGGAAGATCTTTTTCATGCGGCAAGTTTGCCGCTTGAATTGGGCGATACCCTTGGAGTTTGTGCCGACGTTATGGGCTTTCTGCGGGGGCAGCGGCCGCTGCGGCTAGCTGCTGAAGGCCAGAAATTAGCTTGGGAGTTGCGTCTTGTCGCCCCGACTTCAGATTTGGTCTTAATCTCGAAGGTTCATACCCCCGAAAACCCATTCCCCATCTTTACGCGGGGCAAGTACTGGGAAGGCGGTGAGGTCTTAAGAAAATACTGTTCAGTTCGGCTGCGCTGGAAGGCGATGCAAGCTTTTCAAAGACAGAATGAACTACTGATCCTTCGCTCAGTGATGGTTTTCAGTCCAGAGACCCCTTGCTCGACGATGATCTCCTCAGAGTTGTACATTACTTCAACGATGACACTGGCCATCTCTTGCTTCCTCAGCGCAGGCACGGGCCGCGTCGGAACAGAACGTGACGTGCCATAGGCTTGCATGTCAGCACGTTAGCATACAAGCATCTCTGCAGTGAGCAGGGGCATCAGCAATGGAACTGACGAGAAGATCTTGATGTATTCCGTGCGCTTCTCCTGGTGCCGCGCGCGCTAGCAACAGCCACCCTCAAGGTTAACACGCTCACCCACGCAACTCCACAAGAATCCTCGCTTGTTGGCATAACGATTTGTTTGAATTGGTGGCCTAAGGTCTGGAGCATTGTGGCTGCTGCCTGAGACTCGATGAAGGTTAATAGCAGTCAAGCAGCGGTCGACGACCCACACACTTGCTTCGACTGTGCACACAACAGTTGCTCTCCTCCAGGAAGGATGTAACTCCAAGATGGGATAAGACAGGTTCGTGACTAGCTCAACAGTTTATGGAGAGCCACCTGGGAACGAGAAACAGGATGGCCAGCTCGCCAAAGGTGTGGCCTCTGCGCAGTACGTCCACCACCGTCTTCTTGCCTACAGGCCAATACGTAGGGTAGCGGGTAGCATGAGCTGTTGCTTGGCCATGCAGGCCGCATGTCAATCCCAGGCACTGTGGACAACCTCCCCAGGCCCGTGCGTTGCCCCAAGCCTGAACCCAAAAAGCTGTCAAGAGCGCTCTACATGGCAGGCAGCCAGACGTGAGTCGAAACTGCTTCACTGACACCTGCTACCAAGACACTTCTCTGTGATGATCACTTCAAACCTAAGTCTGAGCAATGAACGCGTGACCTCAAACATGCCACGTACGTATTCGTAAAATAGAAGGCTCAACAGCCATGTCACGCACCAGACTCGATGATGTAAAAGTGTTCGGCGCCCAAGTCGCCCTCGCGGATGAGTCTCCTCCCTGGCCTTGCTGAATCAATCTCGGATATGCATTTAAAAGCCCTCAGTTTCAAAACCAGTTTGGATTGCTAACCAGCTGCATGATCTTTTCCTTCCACATCGTGTGCGTCAGCTTCTCTATCTTCTCCTCCGATATCACGCTCATCCCACCATTCAACATCTCATTGTTCAGCAGAGCTTCCCTGGCCAGGGGGGTGCAAGTTTCACAACACGCAAGGTTCTGAAGTTGCCCCATGTTGTCCAGCCCTGGGCCCCTGCTGCTGCTACAACGCCAAAGCGCAGAGGGCCGCTCCATGCTCTATACCCATGATACCCAACTTCCATCCCCTTCAACTTTCTAACCGCTATCCCTCGGCCTGATGAAGTTGCACTCTCGTTCCGTCTTTTCGGCAGGTGGGTGAAGTTTTCCTGAATAGCCAGCATTCAAGCAGACAGGGCAAAAGTTCCATAGCCCAATGTTCATACAAGTCACGCGGCTTTGCGGAACCTCGGCCAACAATGCACCAAATGCTGTGAATATTGTCGTGTCGGGAGCCTGAATGTGGCTTGGCTTTTCATGGGGTTTGGCTTGGGGTATTACGAGCAGGCTCCCACCAAACTGTCAGTAGGACACCTGCCCAACTCCATCACAGTCCGCCCCGAGCAAGCCTAAACTTCGTCCATTAGAAAGGCCTTCGCAGATGAAACTTGCCACTGCTGACCTCTGTCAGTGGCTAAGGGTAAACCCGCCCAAAAGACATCAAACTGTTCTCAGAAACGGTCCAGAATCTAAAACTCTGTGCTTCTATGCTTGCTCGCTACTGCGAATCCCTGGAAGTTTGTACGCCCAGTGGCGTTGTGCTTTACGATCTGCGAAGGTCAGCTTCTCCTTGAGCCCCAGCTCTTCGAAGTTCTGGCGAGCTTAGACTTTGGAAAGATTGCAAAATTGAGGGTTTCCCTATAAGGGTTAAGTCCGGTTAAGTTGTATAGGGGTTGTATCGTATTTAAGTCATCCTGGCCTTGCGCTGAATTCGTAAACACTCCACAAAACTTTCGGTGGTGATCGTGGCCGTTCGCGGCTCCTCAGCATGACATGTCCCATCAACCCCTTTTCCTCATCAAACCACCTTTTTACACACTCAACCCGAACACCTGGCCCAGCCGACATGAAGTTTGACTGGTCTGCCTTTCCAAGCCACGGATGCCAAGAGGGCCTTTTCGCCGAAGTAGTCACCCGGCCCCAGTCTTCCCACCACCTGAATCAACAGCACACGTGTGCTATTCCATGGCGACTAAACCTCGCACAAGGATCCTCAGGCTCATCTCTGCTTGCCTTCTCGCCCTTGAGGGTCCTCACTGTCACACTGGCTTCTCCTTGCCGCAGGACGTAGAAATCATCTCCCAAATCTCCTGCGGTTGTCAGCGCACAAAATGTGACAAGAGCAAGTACTTCCCTGAGCGCCTTCGCGCATGATGATGGAGTGGGGTTGAAATTTGATGGACTTGGCAGCTTTTGCCTAGCACAATCTCAACTCGTTTCTGCACTACTTGCCTCTCAGAGCTTGCTGCCGTCACAGCTGACTTCATGCACTGTGCTTTTGGCATTGCAGCTCCAAGGGACGACCAGAGGTTGCTGATCCAAAGGCAGTCGCTTCAGCAGAGGGACCTGCATTTCACAGCCTTACTTTTTCCATGAATTATGCCTGGGAGTGTAGGCCTGAAAGAGGAACCGCACTTTGTCCTGGTAGTCTGTATTTTCGGCTAAATACCTCGAGCCAGCATTGAACATGCCAAAGCGCGAAACAAATGCCGTGCAATGACCTGTTTCTCCAAACAAGCAACTTGATCAACTCTTCCTGCTTTTTCTGTTTCAGCTCCTTCTTGGCCGCTTTGCGCATTTGCCTGAAAGCCTGGCAGTCGGTCATGAGATTCCGCATAGGTTTGAATCCCTTTCAACATTTCTGCTGAGGCACTGCTACTTGCTGCTGCGCCCGGCTGACGTACATGGCGCCTGCTCCGGCTCCCATGTCTATAAATCCCTACGCCATCAGGTCGCGGGGGCGCTGGCGGGCTTCACCATGGCATCTTTCGACGCGTGGCGTGGCATCTGCCGCTAAGTCAGTCATAGATTTTGGAAAGTGCATTCGAGACTCTAAAACAAATAGCTAGTGCATGACAATGACAACCCCGTGTTTTACAACCACCTGCAAACACTGGCAAAATCACAAGCTTGTGAAACCTCACACAATTTGAGCCCTCCAAGTCACATTGGCAGGTCAGCCGTGAAGCATGTCCATGAGAGAAGGCCTGCGGTTTGGTCCTCACTATCCTAATTCTGGGTTTGCTGGGCTTCGCACTTGCAAGGACCGCGACCTTTCAAGAAATCTGGGCCTCAGCTTGCAAATCAGCATTCGCCTTTACAGAGTTTACTTGACTCTCATTCCGTCAACACAAAACTGAGCCTGCAGCAGTCACAGCTGGGCCTCGTGCCCAGATCTACGGTGTAAACCTCGGCTTCACACCACATACCTCTTCGTGTAGATGTCTTCATGGCTTGCAGAACATGCTACAGGCCCGGGATCTGGGCGTGGATGTGTGTAGACCGATACCCGCAAAAAAAGAAGCCTCTGGTTTCAAACGCTGCGCTGCGCGCTTTTGCGTTCGCTGCATTCACGCCACTTTGCACCGCGCAGCCTGCGTCTTGGGTCCCAAGACACACCCAAGGCACGTCGACGTTTGCAATGCGCAAACGGCTGCAAGCTCTCGATTTGGGCTGGATGCCCGTTTTCAACATTTCTGCTTTGGATACGTAGCAGGACTCCGGAAATATGTGCATTGAAATGATATTGGGACTAACCATTGCCTTGTCACTTTGAGAAGGTTGTCGGGTTCTCATGTCATCCAGCGGTCCGTGAAAATCTTGAATCATGACAAGAAAAGCTGCATGCAGGTCCTCAGGGCCGATGGGCACGAAGAATGAATACATGCCCAAAAGCCGCTTGCACCACTCCCATGTAAGATGCCGGCATTGCCGGTGCTGCCCAACACACGAAATGAAGCTCCTGGTCCTGAAGGCTGCGCACCGCAACGGTGACCGTCTCGCTTTCCAAGGTTTTGCCCCATGCCTTGTGCAGGATGTTGCTCTCGATGTAACCTGAGGCATTCGACAACACCACTACCATTCTATGACGTTATTTGCCAGCTCGCAACGTTCCGTCTCACGGGAAGCTGAGGACAAGCAATTGTCCCCACGGCAACAACACGCCTTCCCCGCTCAATCGTGAATTTACAACAACATGCAGGCCGGTTCTTACAATGTGCCGATTAGGACTAGAAAATCGAGCAGTGTCAATGTATGCTGAATGAAATGAAAAATTAATGACTGTACACCCGACAATTTCCTGCCTATTTAGTCATTCCTCGAACCCTGGACGATTGGGTCTACTCTATTCCTGGGCTCTTTCGCTCCCCTTACTACATTGATATAGACTATCCCTAGCTCCTTAGCTCCCCGCAAAAGTATGGGTAGTCTGTCATTCGCAGTGTGGTGTTTTTAAGTGCGGGTCTCGGGCCGAGTTGTCCAAGCTTCCAGGGAAATGAATGACATGCGGCTGCACAAAACCCTATGAATGAGGAGCCGGCAGGTACAGACGCTGTTGCAAGGCACGGTCAATCCGATCGCCTCAGGAAGTGATCGTGCCGTTCTTTTCCAGGGAGGGCAGCATGAAACCGCAGCAAGGCCAGTACAAGTCGCACTGCTCGGTTGACGCCGAAATCTCGCCTGCCGCTTCTCCTGGTCCGTCATATGGCATGCTCCCTTGCACGCCTGCAAACCTGTCAGGACGGGCCTTCAACGGCCCAGGTCCGATGTCTTTGGGCAGACCTGGGTCAAAAAACGCCAGCACACAGCGCATGGTGTGTTGCAAGCCGTTGCTCTTGATGAGGCTTGGGCATGTTGCCCCTTGCTTGGCCCGAGATGGCCTTCATGCATCCCCTTTCAAGTTTTGACCGTGACGTATCCCCCCCTATTTCATACCATGAGGAGAGGGCAACCACTTTCCTTTATGAGCTTGGAAACGGTTCGAAACGGGGAGGGTCTGTTCATGAGAACCTTACAAGAAACAAACAACATTTTAAAATCGGGTAGGGTGCCCATAATACAAACAAAAATATAATGGGGGGACGTCGGTACTTTCTTCCCTCCCGCTCTTCCAAAGCTGCGAGGTTTGAAGCATCTGACCATGCAATCCTCTTCTCTGAGCTATGTACCCGTCATGCACATACGTAATGGAGCGCCAAACCATGCAAGCTCGCATCTACAGGTGCAGGACAAACTCTTCTCCTTTTTTGTGCCTGGCGGCCTGCGAAGAAACTCTCAAGTCCAGCGCTGACAGCTAGCTTCCAAAGCAAACTCTCCCAAAGACGGGCGAAGACGTCCGAGCTTGTCTGAAACAAAAGAGCTGCTGCAGGAAGAAGAGCATTTCCACTTTTAGCAGGCGGCCACAACGGGCGCGGCTGTGCGCCGCAGAACAGCTGGTAGCGTTTACCCGCTAGGCAAAAGGCTGGCCAAAGTCACTTCGAGGAGCGCGCTAGCAGCTGCCACACTCTGTCGACACTGCTTTGTAAGGGCTGGTAACACTGACACCGCTGCCACTTCTTGAACGTAGGACTCCAGCGTAGCAACGTTTTGAATCCTCATCCTCCACATCAAGTCGCTGATAGCGACCCCAGATTTGTACTCTCGAACAGCACCTCCACCTCGGAGTCCGCCGGGTAGTAGCTTTGCCGACTTCGGAACTCCAAGCTCTTCTAAGAGGCAGTCCCAGCGACGGCGAAAAGCGCCCGCGGAGCCTGGGTAGAGATCCTCTTCTGGTTCCAGCTGGCCCAAGCAAGCTTCCAGGAAGTGCACGAAGAAGGTCTCCTTGACGCAGAGGTGCTGAGTCTTTCCTTTTCCACGGAAAGCAGTCTTAGGAGACTTTACTGCGAGATAGCATCCCGCACCGGGAAGGCTCAATGTATCACTAGGCAGAAGGAGGTCTCGCCGCTTTGCTCGCAGAGGCTCACCAGCGCGGCCCAAGCCGTAGTAAGCCAAGCCGAGCACACAGCACCATCTCTTCCAGCCACGAAGAACTCCAAGACAAAGAAAAGCTCGCACGACGGCTTCAGGGACCGGCACGCGGTGCACGACCGGAACTAGCCTTTCCCACCTCGTGATGAGGTCCCAGCCGAAACTCAAGTACGGGCGCAGCTCGAAGCGGTTTTTCTGCAGGAAAGCCATCAAGTGCCTGAACTTGTACAGCGGTTCGCCCTGCTGAAAGAGCCAGTTGCCGTAGCAACGCACAAGGAAGCAGTACACCATGGCAATACTACATAAGGACTTACGTGCTGGACCACTAAGCTCCCTACGAAGGTAACCCTCAAAGTCTCCGAGCACACGATCCTGGATTGCAAGTGTCCGAGCGGAGACAAGCTGGACCTCCTCTAAAGACAGCGGAGCTGAAAGATCTGGCCCTGGACGAGAAGCTTCCCCGATACGAACAGAATGGCATCGGGCGCATGCTGCTACGTCAAGTCGTCGACGTTGGCAAGCTGGAAGCCGAGGGTTCACAAGGTGCCAGGCCAGGAGCTTGTTGAGGCCTCTGGGGTAGGCCTCAGCGGCCTTAGTGAACTGCATCGATGGACCTTTGAAAATCCAGTCAAACGCAAATGCTCATGTCCCCCCGCACAAAGAACTCGTTGGCCTCCAAGAGATCCAGGCCACGGAGCGAAGACTCGAGTACGTTTGCGCCACGGAGTCCCAAATCGGCAGTAGTCAACTACCAAGCAGCCGTCCGGGCCGTACTTGCGCAGCAGCTGGGTCCAGCGCGGAGTGCTCCAAAGGTAGCTCCCGTGCGGGTTTTCGGCCCAAGCTGGGAGGGCGAGGTCCAAGGCAGTCTCCACCACAGTAGCCATGAAGTCAGCATGGGAGTTGCCGTCAGCAATCTTTGAAAGCATCGAAGCCCGGGCATCAGGTAGGCCCAGCGGAAAGGCAAGGCTGCGAACAGGTGGCCGTACGGCCCGGCTGAAAGAACTGCAAATTGGCCCCCCGCCGGCGCCCAGGAAAGCGCCGTGCTTGAGTAAGTAGAGGATCTTATTCTGGAGATCCGGGCACAGAAGGTTCTCGCTGGCGGAGCGGCCCCAATCGAAAGTCAAACACCACGATCCGGAGATGCTGGCGACCTGTCTGGCCACACCCAGAGAGCCCGAATAAAGGTCAAGGTACCCGGGCTTCTGCAGCAAGGTAATCAGCGCCAGATTGTTGCCCTTCGGCAGCACAAACTGGTCGGAGTCGAAGGAGAGGAGAAGTTGAAGGATGCCAGCACCACACTCAGCAGGCAGAGCAGAGCAGGGGCTGGGCTCTAACAAGCGCGGCTTCTCTTCCTCGGTACTGCGGAAGCTGCGCCGCGAGATTTGAGGAGGCTGTCACGGTCCGGCTCAGAAAAAGGACGAACCCTGCCGCTGCCATGTGCCGCAGGGCCATCCTTCCGGCCAGGAGCGGAGGCAGAACTTCTGGGAAGCTCTCGGAGGTTCGCCGCCTTCATCCTCCGCTTCTCGGCCCGGCGCTTTGCTGAGGAGGAAATCCACAACCGCCGTCGAGCCCGCCGCCCAAGCTCAGGGACTTCTTCACAAAGGCGACGGATCGACTCCAGAGGCGGAAGCTCAAGCAGCGAGACAAAGTCAACGCCGTAGGCTCGGAGCTCCTCGTCAAGCTGCTGAAAAGACCCATTCAAAGCGGATTGCAAGAAAGCTGGCGCCGGTGACACTGGTTTCCGGACCTCAGCACCCCTTGTAGGATCATCGGCAGGGTTATCTGCAGAAGCCACAAACATATAACCTCCAAAAAGATCCAAGCCAATGTAATCCGGAAGCGAAGCCCTGAGAACTCCATTCAATCGAGCTGAAGAAGAACGTCCCTTGAGGAGACAGCCCAATGACACCTGAGAGTCCGCGCCAGACAACAATCTGCTCGAAGGAGAACGTCTCCCTCGCCGAGATTCACTGGCTATGATGGCTCTGAGTTCATGGATGTTTATATGACGTTTCCTGCTGATACGCTTTCGCCACCGAGGGCGGAAGCCAAGGTGACGAAAAACGGCTCGCCAAAGAGGGTGATGTGGTAGCGCGTCCTCGCCCGGCAGTTCGAACTGCTCATCCAAGGTTCCGGCCTCACGCAGCTCGGCAAACTCGGGCTTCAGGAGCTTGGCCCACACAGGCTTGCGGAGCACATGCCGCCATAGTTCGTCAGCGAACTCCTCGGAGACGTGAGTGGCAACTTCAGCTTCCCAGGAGTCCGACGCGTCCGTGGCAGAGACCTCGGTGCAGCAACGAGTGCGAAAGTTCCACCGAACAACGGGCGCAATGACAATCAGGCTCCAAAGCTCAGCTCGTAGTCGAGGCCAAAGTCGGAAGATCACGTGCTCGCCCAAGTCCGCAGGAGCTTTAAAGACCTCCTCCAAGAGAGCCATGCAGCGTCGCCTGAACTGAAAGATGGAGATGAAGAAGCCCCCGACCACTTCGAGGAGGTATCGCGTACAATGCCCGAGCTTCACGATCTCGGCCGTCAGGGAGAGCACCGGCAAGAGACGAGCAACCGTAGGTCGGCTCGTACCGGCGTCCCATCCAGAGAAGCCCCCCAGAACTCGGCAACAGGCTGCTCGGAAAAAGCTTTCTTCCGATTCTCTGGAAGGTGGACCTCGGCGTAGCTCAGGCTGGCCTTGCGAAGACGGTCAGCGCCTAGAGAAGTCCCGGGCTGGAGTTCGGAGAAGTCCTGACGGGCCATCCTCTCCACCACCACGAAGTCGTCAATGACCACGCCCCCCTGAACCTTTGAACGAGACGGCTGGCTCTTCATCGTCAGCAACTCCTCGGGGAACACACTGCCAGAATTCAGGATCAGGGAGAGGTGCGCACATTGCCCGAACTCCACCGAGTTCAGGTCCCCCATCGCCATGGAGTTGAAGCATGGACGGAAAGGGCCCATGCCGGCGAACTTTTCCTCGAAGCACGTGAAGAGTCTAGCTTCGCCCTCCGAGAGCTCGAGAGCCAAGGCATTCCGGATCACGCGCTGCGGGGAGACGAGGTACTGGTAGTAATAGTCTCTGAGGTCCGTGCCGCTGAAGACAAGAACCTCGTCAGGCTGCAGAACCGTGCCAAAGAGACTGACCGCACTTGCCATCGAACGCGTCCAAGCAACCCGGCCCTCCTCAAGCAGGTTCGGACCCCGAGCGTCCATGATGAGCCGGTCGCGCTCCAGAGACTTGGGAATGGCAAAGAGGCCGTTCAGATGCCTCCGCCTGCACAAGGTCGAGGGCAAGAGGCGCAAACGGCCTCCTCTGTCAAGCTTCCGAAGCAGCGCAGGTCGCTCCCCCGGTCCAGCCAGAACACGGGTGCGCGGCGGATCCACCAGGGCCTCCGACTCGCCCAAGGCATAGTCCAGCGGGTTGAGGTAGTGGGCGGCGCAATCAGAGTCCAGGAATTTCACTGGGTCAAAGGCGGCGGCGTCACCAAACTCAACACGAGAAGCCAGAATCGGTCGGGCCAAAGTGGAGCGACGAGCATGGTCGGGAACAGTCTCTCCAAATTCCATCTCCACAGGGTCGAAGCGCGGGAGATGCCCAGGTCCAGCGTGATATCCGTGACAGCGTGCGGCCAAAGCGGAACCTTGCTGTTGAAGCGAAGCAATCATGCCCTCCAAGTTCTCGATCTTTGACGCCACACGCCCCATATCCGAAGCAGCAACCGCAGCATGACAAAGAACATCACTCAACATGGCCTCAATCCGAGTAGCAACCGCTCGCTGTTCTCCGCTCAGCTTGGCTCGCGAAAGAAGGTCCTTTGGGGCCACATGCGGGCGACCTAGGTGAAGCCAGTCAAGAAGCGCCACCACCAAGTCGACGGCGTTATGGCGGGCCTGAGTCGCTTTGTCAAAGCCGGCGGTCTTGAAGCGGTAAGGCAGCGGCATCGGCCAAATCAATGAAGAGGTAGTCCCCGAAGCTTGAGGTAAGAAAGGCCTTCTCTTAACCAGGCACCGAAGAAAGCAGGAAAAAGAATTCTCACTACGAAGAATGTGTCGAGGAAGGGCGGCCCAAAAGTTCACAGGATCAACTGCAGAAGCTGCTTCTCCTGGTAGTCGTGGTGCATGTCGTGCGGCGTCCCTCTGCGGTTGGCCGGCTGTACGGGGCCCGGCCGCCCCTGCAAAAGAAGTCATGCAGTCTTCGCGGCCTCGGCCGCGGGCTTCTCGCTTTTCTCTCGGCCGTCTCGGCCCCTGCCCTTCTTCCCCTCGCCTTTTCGTCCCGGCAGAGGGGGGCGCTCCTCCTCGCCTTGCTGCTGGTCGTCTCGCCTCCTCAGGGTCGGCGTCTGCGCGGAGCCCAGCTTCTTTCTGGCGTCGAGGTAGGCATCGAGCTGCTTCAGGTGGGTGGTCAGGACCTCGATCCATCGCCTGTCGTAGAGTCGACTGAAAGGCTGCTCGCTTCCCGACAAAGGGTGCGATTCACGAAGGCCTGAAATGGCGGCGCCTCTTCCAGTGTCATCTCGCCCGCCAGCGTCCACGACCCTCGGTCGATGCTCAACTGGTCGGTGGCAGCAAGAGAAAGAAGGCATCGGAGGTGCGCCTCCTGGTACTTTTGGGCCTTGATGCAGTCCGCGATGCCGGCGATCGCCCAGCAAAAACGAATGGTGCTGGGATAGTTCTGGATCTTGCTCCTCAGCTCCAGCCACGCACGGCAAGAGACCGGAACAGTCGACGAGCCTGGCAGGGAGGTCTGCATGTTGAAGTCGGCCTCGAGGTTCCGCTCCAAGATCTTGACAAGCTCCTCCGGCCGCTGGCCCACGCTCTCCCTCAAGGCTCGGAGAGCTGCTGCATTCCGAGCTGCCGCGCCACCGCTCTGATGCCCTCGGCCGATCCAGACCCGCCTCCATCGAGAAGCGCCTCCAACGAACCCTCCTTCTTTTTCTGCGCTGCCAGCTGGCCCGCAATCTCCGTCAGCTTGCTGACCGCAATCTCCATGGGGTTCTGAAGCGTCAGGGGCTCGTCGTCGGCAACCGTCTCGGGGAAGGAGTCCTCGTCCTCGAGCTCGTCCTTGGGTTCTGGCTTCGCTCCCCGCGCACCCTTGCTGCCCGGCAAGTCCCCAAGCCTTCCGCCTTGCTTTCCAAGAAGACGGGACATCTCCTCCAAGCGCCCGACCTCGATGCCCGCGTCCAGAGCAGCCTGAGCGACTGTTGGGTCTAACCCCTGGAAGCGTCCCACCGCCGAAGCCGGCTTCGAAGACGCTTTCCGAGCAGGTCTCGAAGGAAGAGCCGCGGAAGGAGGAGCTCGCTGAGATGGCAGGGGCCGCTCTGCTGCGCCAACAATGATGGTTGCCAAGTCCTGCTTCAGCTCCGAGAAACATGCCTCCAACGAAGAAAGCCGCGCAGCGAAAGGGTCAGCTGCAGGAGGCGCAGGTATCGATGGAGAAGGCGGTGCAGCCGACTCGGCCGTCACGAACTCAAACAGCTGGCCCGACGCTTCAACCAAGGACGGCGCAAATGGGACGAGGTCACTTGTCTCCTCGGCTCCAAAAGTGTAGCCGAGCTCAACCGGGTCCTCCAGGTCACGGACAAAGTCAGCGGCAGCCTCGCCGTCCTCTGTAAGCAGTCCGAACCAAACGCGGGCGTCTCCTTCGACAGCAGCTCCCCGATCTTCAGGTCGACAAAGCCGAACTCGCCCAGCAGTAAGGCGCCTTGCAAAAGCCCTCGGCAGCACGCGGCGGGCAGCAGAGCGGTGCCAGACGGTCCCAGGCAGAGCCACAACGATCTCCCCGGAAGCAGCTATGCCAACCAAAGCAGCCGAAATGAGAGTAGGAGGCCCACCCTCGCGAGGAACGGCGATCACCGCCAAGGGGAAGTTGAGATCAGCCCCACTCTCGCCAGTTGCGACCAGATTTTCTCTCAGGGAGGCCACGTGGTCGCCAGCGTGGTCCTCCCCTTCGGTATCCTCTTCAGGCATCAGGCCAACGGACGCCTGTGCGTCCAGTAGCACGTCTAGCCTCCCACTCCGAAGGGAAGCCAGGGAAGACCAGATTGCCGGGGTTATTCACAGCAGGGAACCTGTTCCGAAGATCACGGAGGCAGCGGCAAACAAGGGCAACCTCAAGAGGACGCCCTTCCGAATCAGAGTAGATCACGTACACCCTGCTTCGAAGCTGGAGGCGATCCCGGCCAGAAGGCCCACGATGTCCCCCTTGAAGAGCTCGAAGGATCCAGTCGCCAAGCTCGTCAGCGAAGGCACCGCGATCAGCAGGGAGAAGAGGGATGCCGCCAGTCTGGCTGCGGCTGATCCCGGGGCTAGCGCCCGGCAAGGGGTCGCTTTCGGCAGCGGAACCAGTCAAAGTCGAAGCACTCTCTTCCCAAAAAGCCCCCGGAGCCTCCTCAACAAGCACAGCGCTGCCTATCTCGTCTTCCTCGCCCAGCCTCGCCTCCAGAGCGGAGACGCGGAGCGTAAGCCTAGCCAATTGGTCGGTCAAGGCCCGCACGTCCGATGCCAAAGAAGAAGGAGCCGAACTCATCCACGCTTAAGGTGCAGCAAAGCAATCCTGTCCCGGACTTCCACCGTGAGCCGCTGCTTCCAAAGGTACAGCAGGTCGAGGATGCCACCAAGGATCACCCCAATGAGGATGCCGCTCAACAACCCAATGGCAAAGAAGTGCTGATCCTCGCCTCTAGGGCAGTCCAGGCCGTAGCGCTCAAAGACAGCAGGGGTTTCAGGTGGGGACAGTAACTGTTGACTAAGGAAAGCAACAGCAAGACTGCTCAGTGATCCAGCACCAGCCCCCAAAGCTAAGGGTCGACTCATGCCACTTGACCCGAAAAGTCTACAGCACCACTCAATGCATCGCTCGCATGTAGAGACATTCATGAACACTAGGGCCGAGCAAAACCCGGACCCAAGCCGTAGGAGCAGCAGTCGAAGGCTGTACCGCAATCTGCTGGCAGCCATCGTGAAATGAACTGAAAACTCAAATGTCTGCACGTTAGCGCTCACTTGATCCTCCTGCCAATGTCATTCCAATCTGGTTGGGGGATATGGCCGAAATGTATGCGAGTGGAGCAGCAGATAATTCAACAAAGGCGTCGATGGCGTTACACTGCTCCTTACACAGAAAAAATGCAATATAAACCAATGATATGGCGGGATGAGAAAAAAGTGTACAACATAAATACAATATGTACACCCGAATGCATGCATATATACCGCATATTTTTCCCTCCCGCTCTGCCAAGGCTGCGAGGTTTGAAACGTGCTGTCCTTGCACTCTTCCCTTCTCGGAGCTATGTACCCGTCATGCACCCAATTAAGGGGACGCCAAACGCGGTATATGATACCCCCTAAAACCTACAATTTTTCCCGCATGCTCTCCACAAGGATTCCCGTTTTGTCCCGGGTCCAAAATGTAGTCAAAAAATCGTTGCGTTTGTGCCCGCAAGCGTTCGCCAGCTTTCGCAAGCGTCCGCTGAGCGTCAGTGAGTGTCGCGCATCCTTGGCAGTCGAAATGGTCGCGACAAGGGGAGCGCTCGTCACTTTTGGACTTGCGTTTTGGTGTTTGTTTGCACTACGAGAAATGTCAACAGCCACACGGATCGGGGGGGCCTGGTCGCGAAACGAATCTCCTCTTTACCAAGCGCAGATCTGTCGTCACGTTCGGACTTGAGGAAGCGGAGAGAAAACGAGAGGAGACGAGTGGAGAGGATAGTGAACAGAGGAGAGAGGAGAGCGGGAGAGGACAGGGGAGAGGAGAGAGAGAAGGAGGAGGGAAGGGAGAGGAAAAAGGAGAGAGGGGAGAGGAGAGAGGGGAGCGAAAAAAGGGAGGGGAGATGGGAGAGGAGAAGGAGAGGAGAAGGAGAAAAGAGGAGAGAATAAGAGAGAGGGGAGAGGAAAGAGGAGGGAGGGGAGAGGAGAGAGGGGAGCGGAGAGTGGACAGAAGAGAAAAGAGGGAGGAAAGATAAAGGAGGGAGGGGAGAGGGGAGCGACAGATAGGAGAGGGGAGAGGGGAGAGGAGAAAGGAGAGACGAGAGAAAATACACGAGCGAGGAGAGAGGCAAACAGTGCATCGAGACGCTAGCGGGGCCCCAGCCGGTTGGCGGGGACGGGGAGCTGCGAGCGGTCGTCCGCAAGGACTAGCTTGGGCAGGAACCATACGAACACGTTGTCAAACATCAGCAAACCCCCCACCCCCGTCCCAAGCAACAATGAGAAAGCTCCTAACGCTTCCTCATGCTTCCTCATACATCCATTATGTACACCCCCCAACCCCCTTCAAGCGAAAAAACTCCAAGCCATGAAACCTCCCAACACGTCGACGACTTCTCAGTGCCTTGGTGAAATGTTTGATCTCCTCTACAAGGTGCTCCTCGGCATTGTTGCACCAGTGCTTCAGGGAGAGGTCGCATGAGGTCGTTCCCTGGGTTCGATGGGATGGTTATTTGGCTAAGCACGCGTACGTGTTATGGCTTTACTATCGCGGCCTCGTGGCCCTTCTCCGGGAGATGGCGCCACAGATGCTTCGAGAAGCCACCCCAGCCGAATCCCTTGCCCCAAGCCGCCGCCTCTCACGGGACAGTCCTGGCACGGATTGGCATGTTCTTTTCCTTCGGCATGCTGAGATCACGAGGTTCTGTCCCTTCAAGACTCGGCGGTTGCTAACTTGTATTTGTGCGACATGTGCCTTTTTTCAAGGGCGTACCTTGACCCTGACCACGTCCTCAAGCTCGCCGCACAAGGCTTTTATCCCGGAGGCCGAGAGGCGCACGCCATCCGCGTAGAAGCCGCTGTCTGCACATAGTGCACATCGAACCGTTCATATTTGATTTGAGCGTACCCTGCCTTCGTGCTTCACCGACTGCAAGATGTTTTGCTGTTGTCTCCGAGCGGCCATCAAAAAAGGCACCATCACCTGCATCGCGAGAATTTGGTTCGCATCTGGAATTGAAAGCCCCGTCTCGCCTTGTAGAGATTGCACATTGCTCCCCAATGAAATCGGCGAAACACTGATGTTTACCAAGGGCAGAGGCGTCCAGGATGGCCAGGTTGGCGTGCATGAAAATGATGGGATGGAACTTGCCTATGCAATTCTTGCAATGGCCGTGCCCAAAGCTGTTCCAAATTAGGCAGACCACTACATATTAGCCCCGAAATGTAAGGCCCCAAAAGGCCCCCACACGACAGAGGGCTTCTAACGGCAAGACCGGGGTCGCGCGACACCCCCACCAAAAACCCCACAACACACCCCCTGCACACCCCTCTGCGCCCGAAGCTCGCGACAAAAACGAGTTTGAAGCCCGGGGTCACGACAGACGTCTGTAACAGGAGGGGGCATGGGGGACGGCCGCGCGACCAAGGGGCGTTTCGGCCCACGCCCCAATATCACCGGATCTTGTCATTTCCTTTCTATTTTGGCCGTGCCACGCAACTTTCACCTGGCGATGTCATGGGGACGTGATCCTTTCATGTCACGCTTTTAAATCGCCACAGTTTGAAGGGCCAACAACATTGGCAAGCCTCAGCAAATGTGGGTTGCCTACGTTTACCGCTCGGCGTTGGATAACAAAAGATGGCAAAAGGAAGCAAACCGCCGCTGCGGAATGATTACATTTCGTGGTGGTAGTCGCTGCCTACAAATCGAACAGCATTGGACAGCAATTGTTTTTCCCGGGGTGCGTGCTTAGGCTCTGGTGCCCCCAGGCTAAACTAGCATACTATAGAAAACGGGTGTTGGCTGAGTCGTTCGCCGTTAGTTGGAATATGAGAGGTCAGAGTCGGGAAAAGGGAGGGCTAGAGTCAGGAAGAAAAGGGAGTGGAGTCGGGAAGGACCGGAGGCGAGAGTCGGGAAATATGGAACGCAACGTCATAAATTTACATGATGTTTCCTAGCCCAATATCGTGTGGGTGGACGGTTCATGTGCTGGCACTCCCCAAGCTAAGGTCATTGTCGAGAAGACCTTTTGCTGTTGCACTACGATCTCAACCAGTTCCGCCAAGGAAACGCAAGATCAGCTGAGTAGCTTTTAGCGCCCTATAATACATTGAGAGCTGCATTTGCGTGCGTTTGACCGTAAGGTGGTGCAACGCATACTCCGTAGACCCTACAGCCTGGACCCCCAGAAGCTAAACCTCAAACCTTGATCACTGTTCCCCTGTTTTTGAACTGTCCCAATTCCTGTCCATCTATAGTGGTACAGCACTTTGAGCTTCTTTTTTTTTGTTGACCCACTTTTTTCTCGCAGCTCGTCCCAAACCCCGGTCCCTGCGCAGGCCTTGTTGGCCACATGCGTTTGCATGCGTTTGCTCACGCTGCGCGTGCCGCGACTCGGCTTGTGGCAAGAGCTGCAGTCCAGCGTGAATCCGCAAGAACCTCATGCAGTTCGGGCTCAGGGCTGCCGCCTTGGCATTCCCCGTGCAGCGGCAGCTCCAGCAACGATGTTGCAAAGGCTCGCTGCGCTGCGACGGAAAGAATGCTGCTCCAGCGCTGCACCCAGGCGCCGCGAGCAGTAACACGCAGGGCCGCAGGTGCCACTGCTGCGCGTGCGCGCGCAAGTACGCGGACGAACTGCGCTGCCTCGCGCGACCAGCGGCCACCTCGACGCCGAAAACGACGAGGCGGCATCGGC